GATGCATATTCAAAAAATAAGGTCCTGCACTTGAACAGGCAAAAGCAGGTAACTGCCTGCAAGCTAACGGCCTTGCATCAAGAGTTTACCGGTGCAAAAAGATTTGCAGTTTGCAAGCTTCAGAATTAAAGTCCCCCAGAACACATGCCTTGGAGAGTTAATCTTCTCTGATAACGATAGACAAACAGATTAGCTGCGTCCGTTGGAACGGGCTGTAAGTCACTGTTCTCATTACAAAAGTGAGTTGGAAGTTGGTCATTTAGAAATACAACTCCTATTCACTACTTCAAATGTTAGCCCTCCGTCTTGGACCACAGCTCATGTTTCATTGTTCAGGAAAGGCCAAATAAGGCCCAGATTAAATATCTGGCCTAACATTAAAATTAATCTCTGCCATTAGTGTGACAGAGCTTCTGAACTGAAGCTGTCCATCTTTTGAAGAGGGGAAAAAACCCCACTCCTCTTCATGTAGAATCCTATGCTTCTTACTGAGCTGCTGGAAATGTGTTTCGTGTCCTGAAGCTTCTGTCAGGGATGATTATCGATGACGTGGTTTGTATAAGAACAGATTCTTCTTTAATTGCAGGGCAAAGAGGCTAGTGAACAACATATAAGAGAAGTCTGTGGGGAAATGATAAATGGTGAGTATTACCGAGAGAAAACGGACTTTAATTACCGTATTTAGCTGAGGATGAGTAAATGCTGAACATGATGGCTCCTGAGATTTGTTATTTTTCTGTCTTAGTAAGAAAAAATACGTTGACCTTTAATGATGTAAGGAAATTATTCAGGAGGACACCTTGTTGTCTGGGATGTTTTTCATTTTCCCAAAATGAGTATTTTTAAATGATTCATTATGACAACATACAAAGTGTGCTGAAAGCAGCTTTGACACAAGTCCCATGCACGCACGCTGGCAAGTTCTGGCTGGTCAGTGTCTGCCCTAACCTGGGTCACCTGAACTTCAGCTCCCACCTCCTCTCCCTGCCACGGCACACCCCATCCCCCTGGAGCTGGGCTCCAGGCAGGGGCCAGCTCCCAAGGAGCGTTTGTCGTTCTGTGAAGTTACTGCTCCGCATTTAGAGGTTATGTTCGCCATTTGGGATGAAGTTAAACTCTGAAAACTTGTTTCAGAAAACTTAAGTATCACTTTCTAGAATACCTGACATCTTTTAAAGTGGTTGAGGAAATGGGAAAGATCAATGGCTTAAAAAGCTGCGGATTTCTGACCAAAATCTCCCTCTGTGGAGATGTAAAAAAAAAAAAAAAGCCACAGATGAGCTGAGAGGACAGATTCAATGTTTCCTGATGCCAGAAGCCCTAAGTGTGTAGGAGCTGCAGGGAGCAAGATCTGCCCAAGCACGCCGCTCTGCTGTACTGTCAGACGCTCACTTTCAGCTCCTCGCTCGGTGGCAGACAACAACCAGCCAAAGAGGGAAAAAGTTGGACGTACAACTTTTAATTGTTCTTTTCAGATCAAATTGCCCAGTTAGCTGCTAATCTGAGAAAGCCCCTGTCTCCTGGAATGACGGGTCGCCCGGGCCCAGCTGGTCCTCCAGGTCCTCCTGGAGCTATGGGAAGCGTTGGGCACCCTGGTCCTCGTGGTCCCCCTGGATACAGAGGGCCAACGGGAGAACTTGGGGATCCTGGTCCCAGAGGTAAGACAGACTAAACCAACCTGCTTCTCTTTTATGCCCACTGAAATAAACTGCAAACTCATACTGATTTTGGTGGTGGAGGAGAAAAGATCAGGCCTCGGGTAGCAGATGGAGTTCTAGAGGGCAGTTCTGCATCTTTAGGGATGCAGTGTAAGCGAAGATCCTAGCAATGTCCTCAGGATCTGGAGTGTCTCTTGGTCTTTCTCCTTCCTGTCCTCGGATCCAGCTGCAGTAGACAACTCGTCGTTGAAACTGTCTGTTTATGATTAAAGGTGACACTGGCGAAAAGGGAGACAAAGGACCTGTTGGTCAAGGCATTGATGGGCCTGATGGCGATCAAGGACTTCAAGGTAAGGCTGTGCAAATAATTTAATAAACTCTGTCTAAAGTAACGGTTTAAGAGGGACAGCTCTGCCTGTTGTTGGCAGTGTATTAGAATCACGTTGTCCCCGTAATCCTAACAGCAGGGTGCTTGTCCTGTGGGTACCACAGGTGCAGACAGTTTGAACAGCAGAATGTAGTTAGCACATCCCCTCTTCATACTGCTCCTCTCTAGTCCTAAATGTTCTGGGGAATGTTTTTGAGAAAAGGCTGCTGGGGCAGCCAGATTCCTCAGTTGTTCTTGGTTTCTTCCACTAACAGCTGTGAAAGGTCAGGAGCTTTTCTAGATTGGGAACTCAGAACCCTCCTTAACTACTCCCACATGGTTGCCAGTGTCAGAAGGTTATTCTTTTCAGTGGTACTTCATATGCGGTAACTACTTAATTAACACACAGTGTATCAGTTCAATTAAAGGTGTGTAACACCTCTGAGGCTCTGGCTCCGGATTAAGGCAAAAGGCCACGGCCTCCCACCAAGGAGCAACAGTTGTGAGCACTCCTGTTGTCACAATCAGTAAGCTGTGAGCTCACATATCCAGGACATCCCTTGAGCAACCTATTCAGGGATGATGTAAAATAAGTCTGGTTACAAATTACTTGTTATTGTTCATGGAGTCATACCCTAACGGAGGCAGTACTGAGATGGAACCCAGTTCTGCAGTGGTCAGCAAAAGTCCAAACAGGGAACAGAAGCACAATACTAAACACCCACCTTCCACTACACCAAGGTAATTCCAGTAAAGCCAAAGGTACTCTAAAAAAAAACCCAACACACATACTCCAGACTCAGGCTAAATTTATTCAACACGTTCTATTCAACAGGCCATAACAAGTCGGATGTACAGACACTCAAAGTATTTTAAGAACTCTAAAAGTAAACACACACATATGTACACACAAAAAAAAAGGGGGGGAAGGAAATAATTCCTGTGATCTTTTTCCCCTTCTTGCTTAGGACCACCTGGTGTACCTGGAATTACTAAAAATGGTCGTGATGGTGCTCAGGGTGAACCTGGTCTCCCAGGGGATCCTGGTACTCCTGGTGCGATTGGGGCTCAGGGAACTCCAGGAATATGTGACACGTCGGCTTGCATGGGAGCTGTTGGAGCATCAACTTCCAAAAAATCGTAGAACAACAGTACAAGAAGTGGAGAAGTGACTGAGTATTTAAATAAACAGTGCATTGTAAGAAAACAGACAGAAACCTCCTAGTGATAAATGGACAGATGTTCCTTCTATTATGCTAAGTGGAGACTTTGACACAGTTCTATGAAAAAGAAAGCATCAGATGAAAACTAATTAAAAGATGCTTTATGAGTATTTTCTCCTCCCCCCAAGTATTTTTCAGAATTTTTACTGCTAAACAACTCCACCTTCTCTTTCTCCCTTTGTTCAAGAGACCTGCAAGAGGAAGCATTGCTCCTTTTCACCATCACCCCCCCAACTGAGTAGTAAAGATTGCGACTTTTCCTTATAAAGGTTTGGGCCTTGTCAATTGAATTCCTTGGTGCTGCTCCCCCTGACTTCAGCAGTGCACAAACCTGCATAAAGATACCCGCTGTTAAGGGATTCAGGCACCTAACTAACTGCGCCTTCCAGCAGTGGAAATCAGGCATTTAAATAGCCTGTATTTTAATAGCTAAGAAAAGACCGTAGCTTATGTATATGCTGCCAGTTACCCATTTTCCGATTGCACCTCAAGTATTTGCCAAGACTAGTAAATAGTAATCATCTTGCAATCAAATTCTGCAAAACGTGTAATGTATATATTTTAATTTACAGGGGAGAATTTTTGTATATTTCCATACGGTAATAAAGGAAATTAACAGCATTTTTGGGACCTCTACTTAAGCTATTTGCACAGTAATTGTGAATGAAACCCCAAATAAGAAAGGATGCTCTTCTAAAGTCCAAGCAAAAACACCTGTATGAACTGTTGTAAAAATAAAAGGAGTTTTTTTTTAACCTTTTCTTTGTGCTGTTGTAAGAGTCATTATACCCATCGAACTAAATCATCTGAACTCCATTTTCTAGAACTGGTTTTACAAGGATTGTTTGGAAATAAATTGCTGCAAAATAGTCCATATCCGTGATTTAAAGCAGTATGTATTTTAGGAGACCTTTTTGTACTTTAAAACCTGCTAGCATCATCTATTTTAAAAAATTAATAAAACCATTCTCAGCTCACACGCTATTCTATTTCTGCCCTATACGCTACAGCCTATGAACAAAGCACTCATATTTATCTTTAAATATGAAAATAGTTTGTGCATTTAAATTATCTACTGTTTACAATATGCCACTCTTGGACTAAAGTAACAATACAAGAACCTGTTGGACAGTTGCGTGATAGACATTAAAAATAGCACTGTATTTAAATAAAGATGTTAACACCATTGTATTACTCTTTGGGGCCAAGTACGTTAAAATATGTATGGCAAATGTAAACTTCATATCATCAGCACAGTTTAGACACTATGCACTTAACCAATACAACCTGTAAATTTTTAATTGAAAAAAAAGGGCATTATAATATGGTAACTTTAATTTCTTTTTACACTTAAAGAGTATGTTTGCATCTAGTAATTAAAATAACAGGAGAGACAGACGTTCTACAACGATTCCTAACTGTACTGGATCATCTTTAAAAAGAAAAAACAAACACACAACAAAGAAACCCCAAAGCTGAACAACAATCAGAAAAAGAACAAGTTTTTTTATAACTAAAGGAGAAAAATACTGAGCTGCCCAAAGCCCCTTTAACAGAGCATTGATTTCTATTGCTGGTAATTAACTTTCATTTCCATTTCGAATAAAGAATGTTTTCTTTAAAGCTCTATTTATCTATTTTTTACAAGTTATATCTTGCAATTCGTATTCAGCATGTAAATGGAGAAAATAAAACACAGTTTGGGCTATTGTTAGCCACACTTGTCATACAAGTCAAGGCGGTCAGTTCAGACTACTTGGTCTCCATAGCCATGCGTGCTTTCCTGCACTGGACATGTTACAAATGAGTCTGATCTTGCTATTTTTAGTCTCCTGCCTGTTTTACCACAGAACACAGTCTCAAATTCCTAAAAATCAAAATACAAAAAATAAATAACAATTATGTTTAATGCAGATATTTACTTGAGATGTATGTTTTTCTTTCACTAGTGTCTTGGAAAAAAAAAAAAACAAAACCACCTTTACTAGGAAGTGCTGAGGGACCATACCAGCATCCAGACAAGCAGGTTTTCCCATACTCACTCCATCTACTCTCAAGGTACTCAGCAGAGACAGAATTACTCTGGGGCTGCAACTACTGGTGTAGTAGCCGCTTATAGGGCACATAACCCTTTACTACTCTCACCCACTCTGAGACAGTGTGGGCATGTAGCTGTGAATCCCACCACTTAACTAGTAGTTCATGAGAACTAACTAGATGACAATTGTGGGAAATAGAGACAATTAAGGGGAGCAGGAGGAATGGTTGCAGAGGACCACAATTCTACGTTGTTGTCCAGATAGCATCGTGCTCAGGAACTGGGCTAACAAAAGACACTTTTAAAATCTGATTTGAAAACCCTGACTGAGGACAGCCTATGATTTCACACTGCAGAACTGAACCAGCTATTTAAAAAAAAACCAAACCAAAACCAAACCCCAAACCAAAATTAAAGGTTCAACAATTCAGCGATCCTTCACAAACAGCATCAAGCAGAAGCATTCCATATACTTTTAGGTGTTATGATAGCTTTAAAACATTTCACATTTTTATAAAGAACAAAAATGAAATTAGATTTAAAACCTGTTTCAGAGAATCACCATGCCTTTCCTGAATGTACTTCAGAAACGCAGTGGTCCATTGTAAAGTTGTTGCCTTATCAGTATCAACAGTACAGAATGGAACCAGAAGATTCAGCTCATCACAACTAACCCGGATTCTGCGCCTACAGGCAAATACAACAGGTTATCAACTGACAGGCAAGAAAGAAGGAAAAAGAGAAAAAAAAAAAGACGACTACTCACATGCACTGCAAGCCATGGACTTTGGGGACTTCTTTCTGTTTGCTCCAAGCTTTGTATTTGTATATTAGTCATGTTATATGCAAGTTACCTTATCTTTATAGAATTGGTTAAATGTTTTGCAATCTCTCTTTTTGTTTATAGAGTAAAAAAACAACAAGACAACCACAATGAAACATACTTATTTTTTTCCTCTAACAAACACCAAACTCTCACCACCTGCATTGCTTTTTCTTGTAGGTAAAACAAAATATGTCAAATTTACCTTTTACTCTGGATAATGACCGGAGTATTAACAGTATCAGCATTTTAGGCTTCAAAAACTTTGTATTGCCACTCCTCACAGAAATTACCTTCTGTCTCTCTCCATGCGGTTATGTCTTTCTCTTCGCTGAGCGATTCCATCCTGTGTACCACTTTGCAGCGGCAGACTTGAATTTGACTGTGCTGACTGCCAAAGGCCCTGGGCAGATGCACTACTCTGGCTATCATTACGAATATTCTGAATTTCAGCAAGAGGTTTGCGATCTATGTTTGGATCCAATGGGTTTATTCGGCTGCAACTTCTGTTTATCGCTTGCTTGCATAAGGTGTCTTCTTGGAAAAACAAAGAGGAAAAGAAGAACCTAGTTATAAGTCTGCCACTAATCACTGAAAACATTGATCATGGAGTATTTTTTTTGTCGCTTTATTTATGTGGAATAATCTCTGAAGCTTTATTGCCAACCTAGATCAACTCTTATAGCAATGCATGTTCTTTGGAAGCCCTAAGGCGCTGATTACTGTTTCAAAAGCCACTTACTTAGCTTCTGTTTTCTCAGAGAACCCATTGAGATTACGCCTGCCTTTGATGAGTGCTTGAGGCAGTCCTTTAAATGTTCTTCAGTTTGATACAAACTGGATCTACTGTATCAATTGTGGGGTCAAAAAGTGTAGAAAGAATCCAGTTGCTTACTCTAGGCCCAGATTTTCAAACGTATTTTGCAACCTCAGTTTTCCTCATTTCATGCTGGAAGTGCTAAACAATTTTGAAAGTATAGCTAAACTCATAGGTCTTGAACTTTTTTTGAGAAACCTAGTCCCACATTGCCTATAGCACATCATCTCAGACATAAAAACCACACCTCACATGATTCACTAAAATCATATTCATTCTAGAAAACAAACAAATTCAGAAAAAATTGTAGATTTGAAGGCCAAGAAAAAGCTAAGTGAAAAGAAGATAAATGGTTTACCTCCAACTTTAATCCAGACTTCCTCAGGCAAAGCTTTATTCATAGCACCTACTGTCTGTTTTGTGGGTTCAATTTCCTGATAGCAGAAAGAGAATGTCTTGGGTATCCCAAGGTCCTGATGTTTGGCAGCTTCCAGAATGGCGCAAGACGTTCCAGAGGTCTGTGAAAACCAAGAAAGAAATACTGAGAGAACTGCATACATAAAAAAGAGACTATTTTGATATCTTCATGTTAACTTCTTAAGTTTTAGCTCTGTGATCCAATGTGTTGTGTATCAGAATAAATCCCAATTACTTCTGCACACAACCATGGGATTTTTGACAGACTGATGAATCTTTTTGGGATACCTCTGACATTTCTGAGTGCCACGCTATCACTCTGGCTTCAGAGGTTACTGTGAGTTGGGGGTGAGGGGGGGGAAATCTTTTTCATCAAAATTAGTTAAAGGAACCATAGAAAATAGTACTAAGTGTCTCCTTGTCTTTTATGTAGATGAAGCTGATGATACACTAATAAACTCAAGGAAAAATCTTTCTAGTAAGAAATCCAATGGCCTACTGATCATTATCTGGATGTGTGTTATTACAAATGCCACATAATTGATTTGAGTAAGTATTTTTGATGGTCTTAAAGATTAACGTCAGAATAAATAAATTGCATTACAGATCATTCTGATCATCCCTATTCAAACCAAGTCACACTTTAACACAAGCCTTTAGAATTACATTAAACCTAAGAGGTTAACATTATTAGCATTTGAAATTAGCAGAGTACAACTCTGTGAATACACTATCTACCTGTGCTTGTGAAGGATTAGCACTCCCAGCAGTAGAACATGCATTCATAGTAAACAACGGGTACGTGAACTGTAAAGAAGGCGTGGCAGGTGCAGCCTTATTTTTCCCTAACACAGCACACTTGTTTTCTTGCTGATGAACACCTATCAGTTCTGATGGCTGTCGGATCAATGTTACTAAACTTTAAAAAAAAAAACAACAAACAAACAAAACAAAAAGCACAACAAAAAAACAACACAGAAAACATACCAGACTGACTACTTGAAAATGAGTGCAGAAAAATTTACAGCTACACATACTTCTAGTAACTATCACCAAGAAACCCCTTTCATTTACGGTAAACAGAAATCATTGTTATTGCCACATTGCCTGCTTCAGGGAGAGAAAAAAAAAACAGATCAGCTGAGAAGGTATTTTACTCTGTGCAGTAACAATTCAGCTTTATGCCTCAATAAAATATTTTATCAGCACACTAATACAGTTACAGGGCCAGACTGTAAAACAGTATTTTTGCTCAAAGTTTTCCCCACAGTCAGGCCTCCACATTAGAACACTAATCAACTGCTCTTACTATTTTATGATGATCAAAAATCTAGTTCGCTTTTAGCAAGTTGTATGTTAAAACTAGGCAATATTCTCTCACCTTTATTTACATGACATGTTGTTATCAAGACTAAAGTTACAAAGTAATTAATTTTGGAACTACATGCTGTACCATTTATGCAACACACACAGGGGCCTAATCTGAGGTCAGTGGAGTTGCAGCCACGTTTGATGGGCACAGTTTAAAAAAGTCCAACTCATCATTCTCACGTCTTAAAAAAAAAGTACTGTTCTTAGGTTTCGTTTAGAAAATCAGTTTTGAACTATATGATGATACACAGTGTAACAACATAAACCAAAATTAATTGCAACACACTTGTTCAGAGTTACTCCAGATTCCTGGGGTTCTTGACATCTGGGGTTTTCTGTCTGGATGCTGTTGAATCTGTCTTCCAACCGAACTCTGACTGCAGATTTAGATCTAGGCTCTGGTGCCAGTGCCGAATTTTCAACAAGTATGTTTCCTTTATTCATCCCAACAAAATTTTCATCATGTTTAACTTTTACTAAACTGTGACCTGGGACTTCTACAGAGCTACTGTTAGGCGTTTTATCTGTTTGGTTCAAAGGGACGTTAGACTCACTAAGTAACATCATTCTGAGCTCCTGAAAGTCAGCATAGCCCAAACGTGGGTTTGAACTTAGCAAACTGCTGTCAGAAGGTAATCCTGACTGACAGATAACTGGGTAAACTGACTGGTTCCCAGAGCTGTTTGATGAACACCCCTCCTGACTGGTGTTCAGTGAGGTCTGGTGCAGAGGTGGGGCTGCAGAATGACCAGGCGAGGAGAAAGAATTGAGCCTAGCTTCCGCTCCACCTTCACTAGCTTGTGTCTCCGTATGTGAGTAAAGTATGTGCTGCAGCTGGGTATACTCAATTTCCATCAGCTCCACCAGGCTGACGTCTGTGGTGGTGAAGCTAAGATTGTGCTCACCAAAGGAAATGTCACTTGAGCCTCCAGGTCCGACAGCAACCGGAGCAGGGTCAGGAACACTAGCTGTGCTTTGAGGAATGGAGGTCTCAGGCTCCTCCGGGGCTGATCCTGACATGACTACAGTATACCTAATCAGTTACCAGTATCTCTCTCAACAGTAAACCATAAAACCTGCAAGAGTATCAGTACTATTCATAAAAATAAAAAAAAGGGAAAAAAAAATTTGCACTTAATAGAGATTCTGTACCACTGCGAGGTAACAAAGCATGAAACAAGCTGCTGACAGCAGGTTACTGGCCAGTTTAACCAAGTCTCCCCCCTCCACCGGCCCCTCTGAGCCCGGCTGGAACCCGCCCTCCCCCTCCAACACAACCGCTCGGGAGAAACGGATTTCACCTGCCAACACCGGGCCTCGGGAGGGAGGGAGGGAGGCCCTAGGTACTCTGCTGCCTAAGCCGCCCTCAGAGGAGCCCCCGTGGGCCTGCGGCCCCAGGAGAACTCGGAGGGGCAGGCCCCGGCTGCCAGGCGCTGGGAGGGGAGGGAAGCAGCTCGCCCCCCTCTCCGCCGAAGGGGGCCG